AGAGAGGGTCTGAGTAGGTGGTGCAAGCGTTGGGCGCAGGGATGAGGTGTCCCGGTGGGGGCCCGTGGCTCACGTGGGTGCGGGCAGGGCTGTTCCAGAGGTCGGTGATCTCGCTCAGGTTCTCCGGCAGGTCATCCTCGTGCTCTGCCTGCGCTGCCAGCTCCATGTTCCTGCAGAAGGGGTCCAGCCACACCGGGTTGGCCCTGCCCGGGGGAGAGGAGCAGCCCTCAGCACACGCAGAGGGTGGCTGAAGCCCCGGCAGCATCCCTAACCCCATCCAGAGCCTGGATGCTGAGGTTGCGCTGCCTTCTCCTGCCCTGTGTAGACATGAATTTGGCTGCTCTGGATCCAGCATCCCTGCTGACCCCAAGCCTGGCCAGTATTGGCAGAGACGGAGTGACAGGAGAAAGCACAAGGTCTTTGAAAGATCTCAGGGCAGGCAGGCATCGCAGAGCCAGTGTCATGCCATGCACAGTGTTCCCCGCTGCACCCCTCCACAGAGCAGGGCGGCATCGTGACCCCACCTCTCGTGCCACCTCCGGCTGCAGAACACAGGCATCCCTCCCTTGGGAGCAGCCTGTGACCCCCCAAGGTGCCGCACGAGGTGGCAAACCAGGGAGCGGAGGGCAGAGCTCACCCGTCGAAGGAGTACTTGTTGGTGTTCGGCATGTCCATGATGTCCATGAAGCCTCTATTCCCTGCAGAAGGCAGGAGTGGGAGTTACAGGGCGGCGTGTCAGTGAGCTGAGAGGTAAACCAGACTGGCTGAGGGCGTGGGGTGGCACTTATTAATCGGGGAGGGGAAACTCCGTGACCAAAAAGGCACCAGTGGCGCGACAAACGCGCTGGGATGTGCCTGATAAGGTGGAACCTGGATTCTGGGAAAAGCCTCCCACCATCACGCCTTGCTTCAGGAAAATCAGGCAGCTTCTGATTTCCACCCCGCTGACACCTCCCGCATCTCCCCATGTACCCCACTCCGTGCTGGTCATGCACCCTACGCTCCCGTGCAGCTGGAGAACCCCAAACACTGCTCACCGGTGGAGCCGGCCACTATGGCTTTCAATTTCCTCTTGTGCCTGCAAAAGAAATACAGCGAGTCAGGGAAGAAAATAAGGAAGATGCTCAAAAGGAAAGGGGTGCACAGATCTGCAATCACCCTCCAAACAGCCCCTGTATCTATAAGAACAGTGAGATTGGTGGGGAGAGGTGGCATCAGTATTAAAACCACTCTATTTTGAGGAAAGAGGGGCAACTTCTGAACTCAGGCTGAGCTCCGCCACTGTAGGTGTTGGGATTCTGATGCCCTTTCCTTGCTGGCCCGTGGGGACGCTGCAGCTGGCAGGGCAGAGCCTGAGCGTTACTCACACTGTCCGGTAGTACCAGTTCATGAGGATGAAGAGCATGGCAGCCAGGAACAGCAGGACGGCCAGCACAATGATCGCCATCTGGGAGACACAGAGGGGTAGTGGCAACCCCCGGCACGGAGACAGCACCCGGTGCTGGGCACCCACCCAGAAGTATTTGGGTGAAACATCTCTCCAGGCCATGGAGAGGATGGGAAAGGTCATCATCCCACCTGCGAGCAACAGCCCAAGCCGGGCCATTACCTGCAGAGCCGAGAGGTCATCCGGGGCCCGGGCGGTGATGGCGGGCTGCACGTCCAACACGTTGTAGTTCCTGAAGAGGTTCCTCAGCTGCTCCTTGTTCTCGTCTATCATCTGAATCACCCTGGGAAGAGAAGGGTTGCTTGGGCATCGCGATATTAATGAGGGTCCCTGAGGATTCAGCAGGCCAGGCAGTGGGCTGGGCGACGGGCCAGGTGACATACCGCTCCACGTCCAGGATGCGGTTGGTCTCCTTGTTCACCACATGGATCAGCAGCTCTGTCTGCGCGAAGTTCACCCGACCTTTCTTGTCAACGTGAAACTGGGGAGAGACAGCCGGGTCTGCAGTGTGAGAGAGGTGTCTCCTCCCGGGGCATCGCCTGAACATGCCCCGTGGTGGGCAGGAGACCCTCGAGCCTGGCATGGAGTTGGCCTGGACCCCTTCGATACACCCCAGCCTGGGCCGTACCCATCACCTTCAGAGCTCGAGGACGTCTGTGGTTTATAGAGATGGGGGACCCTCAAAGGAGACCTCCCAAGCAGCACGCGGAAGGTTACCTACCCCTTAAAGCAACCTCAAAGATGGATCTTTACCTGCACATCATCCGTGTTGACAATGGCACCCGTGATGTTGGAGAGCAGGCTGATGAACTCCTCCTCGAACTGCCTAACTTTGTCGGGGATCTCGTTGATGATGATTTTGACCCGCTGGTCATCCCGCAGAATGTAAATCCCCACGACGGCTGTGTCGTTGTGGCCCACCAGGTCAGAGGCCATGACGTCCACCACGAAGTAGCCAGGGTTGTAGGCCGTGAAGAGGTCGAAGGTTCGCAGGATCCCATCAAGGGTTCCTGGGGGAAAGGACGGTCACAAGCAGAGGATTAGTGACCCCGGTCATGGGGACGTGTTTGGCCATGAGGATGTCTTTGGCCACGGGGGCATCTCTACGCACCGATGCTGAAGATGTTGGCCACCTCCTCGGAGTCATTGGAGTGCTGCCTGATGTAGCGGATGCCCAAGATGTTGTACAGGACCAGGCTGTTATTGCCCACGTCGGCATCCACCGCGACCACTCTGATCAGCTCCGAACCCACCTTGGCGTCGGTGGCAACACCTTTGAGAGAGAGATGGGACAAGGACCTGAGGCCAGGCTGGCATTCACTGCCCCTTCACGAGGCTGGATTTTCTCTGGAGCACCTCCAGCTCCTTGTGCCCCTCCCAGCCCCTGGCATCCTTTACCTGCCGTGTACTCCGACTTGGTGAACTGGGGGGACTGGTCGTTGATATCATCCAGGAAGATCCGCACCTCCTGAAGTGTCAAGTCCCCACTGAGGTCCCAGGGCTGGGCTCTGCCTGCTCGCTGGCCCCGGGGAGGGGACCAATTCCTCTGGCTGGACGCTTTGACGATGAGGGAGTAGTATGGCTCCTTCTCCCGGTCCAGGTCTCGCAAGACCTGGAGCTTGCCCTCCCGGCTCAGCTGGAAGTTGCTCTCCCGGTTCCCAGCTGGGTGCAGAAAGGGACCCCACTTAGTCCTCTTTGGGCTCAGCATTTCTGAAATGCCACCTCACCCACTGACCAGGGGAGAACGGCAGCGAAGAGCGGGCGGCAGCAACACAAACCCCTGGCGAGGGATGTGCCGGGAGGATGCAGAGGTGCCCATCCCCTCCCCACTCTGCCCTCACCTGCTATGAAGTAGTAGACAATGGCGTTGGAGCCCTCATCCGCGTCCACTGCTCCGGTGACGTTCCCCACCACAGTGCCTGGCCGTGAATGCTCGGGGACAGAGAGTGCCTGGTACTGGGGACTGTCCCTCTGATGGAGATCCCGGGGGAAGGAAGGGTTACGAGCATCGGGGGTGGCTTTTAGTTTTTGCTTTGAAGGGCTAAATGTAGACAAACCCCATCGTGCTCCCCACCAGTGGTGCATGCTCCATCCCACGTGCTCAACGGCATCCCCAGCCCTGCACCCCCTGGGTCCCATCCCCTCCATCCCAGTGCCTTACGGGCGGCCTGAGGAAGACGGGCTCGTTGTCATCGATGTCATCGAGCGCGACCTGGAGAGGCTGCATGGTCTCGTAGGCTGGCTGGCCCTGGTCGCAGGCCACAACGATCAGCTGGGGAGAGAGGCAAAAGCACCGTCCTGGGCAAAGCCACGTGGGCCAGGAGACATCGCTGAGGCGGGGGCAGAGGGTACAGCTGGGCGGCGGAGGATTTGGGGGGCATTTAACAGGGAAATGGCCCACCGGGATGCAATTCCCCAACGGCATTTGATAACCACTCAGTTCCCGCTAAGGCATGACACCTTCAGAACCGCGGCAGCTGACGCCGTCCCCACCCCATCACTAGCATCCCGCCAGAGCCACGCCGGACCCATGGCCTCGAAAGCTGTCCCCAGTCACCCTTGCGGGCGCGCTGCCACCTGGCTCACGTTGTACACCGCCTGCTTCTCCCGGTCCAGCCGCATGGCCGTCTGGATTAGCCCGCTGACCGAGTCGATGCTGAAATACTCCCAGTCTTTGTTGCCCGCCCCGGTTTTCAGCAGGTTGTAGAGCACCGCTCCATTGAGGCCCTCGTCTTTATCCGTGGCGTAGACCTCATAGACGTTGGACCGCAGGGGGATCTCCTGCTTGCATAAGTGCAGCCCCTCAGCCCCAGCATTGGAGGCAAGCCTCCTGCTCCCCTGCCCCTCCAAACCCCCTTGTATCAGGGTCAGCAGGTTCCTGCTGCCCAAAACCCAATCAGGAGCTGGCAACACGGAGTCGTAAGTCCCTCGGGCAGGGTGCATGCTTCACGTGTGTGCTGGGGACTGGCTGAGCCAAGCCTGGCTTCCCAGAAAGGGGAAACATCTCAAATGTCAGCGTTTCAGCCCTTGTTTATAAACAGGCTTAGCATGCAGCAACCGGCCGTTTCCTTATTTTGCATGCTCCCAGGGTTTCTGTTCCCCAAAGCTGGCCCGACGCCCCCTGCTCGCACGTAGAGAAGGGCTGTCGGTGACCATCCAGCCCCTTGACCCAAACCTTCTTGCCACATCAATCAAGCTCATGTTCCATCCCCAGTGGATGTTGCCATTGGTAAACAGGAGCCTTCCCGGGCACGGTCTCGACATGCCATGACACCACTCCTTCCCCAGGGCTTTACCTCCTTGATGTGCAGGATGGTGCCGTTAGGTGGGCGGACGAAGACGGGGCGGTTGTCATTGATATCGATGACCTCCACATGGAGCATGGTGGTCCCCCAGAGAGGGGGACGCCCCTTGTCCGTGGCCACCACGGTCAGGTTGAACCTCTCATAGGACTGCAAACGCCGCCGGGATGTGACGAGCCCGGAGTCCTTATTGATCTTGAAAGCCTCTGGGGACAGAAAAAACACCTCTCTTGCTCAGGACTCGTGGCACCAGAAAAACAACGATTAGAAAAGAGTACACCAGCTGAAGCACACCCCTCGCTGGTGGGAAATCCCTGTGGTGGGGTGACGGAGCATGACGGCTGCCTGAGGCCGGCAGCGCAGATGCTCTAAGGGTGCCGTTTCAGAGTATACCTGCCCACTGCCAACTCCCTCCTGCCGGGCAATGACAAGCTCCTAGGCTTCTCCGGGATGAGTTTCACTCCTGCCCAGGTTAGCTACACCAGCCAGGACAGGGTGATCAGAGGAGCCCATGGGTCTCAGGAAAGTGAACTTTCTGCCATTTCCCTCCACATTTACGCGGGCTTTTGCTTGGTTCCCGTTACTCCAAGGCATGCAGGGGTATCCTGGATTTCAGGCACTATCACTATCCACCCACAGCGTCCTAACCCTTCCTAGCTTTCTTCTACAGCGTGCAGTGAGTTTGCTCCAAGGCACACTCGTGTTCATAGAAAGTGCTGCAGGGGTTGGGGGGATGAGGATAATCCAAGGATGGACTGCAGGACGAAGGCAGGCAAAGCCATAACGTGCCCTGTCATGAGGAACTGGGAACGGTGGAGCAATACCGAAAGCTCCGGGAGCGTGCGTACAACCTTGCTCCAAACCAGCTGTAGGCTTGGCCCCTACACCTCCTCCGATTGCTCCTCATTGTAACCCTCCTCCCCGGCCAGACCCCCGAGGGCCAGCGCCTACCCGCTCCGGGGCCCTCAAGGCCGTAGGTCACCACGCCGTTGTCCCCTTCGTCCAAGTCTGTGGCAGTCACGGTGATCACCGACGTCCCTGCCGGCTCGTTCTCGTAGACGCTGGTGCGGAACTGGCTCTTGCCGAACTGGGGCCTGAAGTCGTTGATGTCCAGGACTGTGATCAGCACCTTCGACAAAGCACAGCCGGCTGGGTGACGCGAGGCTGGCGATGGGGGCCATACCCCTGCCGTGACCCACGGCTATGCTGCCAGAGCACGGTGCCCTTCCTGCGATTCGTTTAACTCTGCTAGCCGAATTCCTGCCTCCAACAATGGGGGCTGCCGTGGCCGGGGCACCCATTCATGCCACAGCACTTGCAGACAATAGCCTTGCCCTCCCCCGCCCCTCCTGCTCAGTCCCCTCCTCTCCACACACAAAGTCCTCTGCACCCTGCACTCCACAGCCCCTGGGGTCATCTGCTCTTCCTTCTGCCTAATTCCTCCCTGGGGCCACCAGCGAGCCCACTGTGGAGGAAAGACCGAGGTTTAACCCCTTCCTGCAGGCGGGACTGGTGACCACCACACGAGGGGTGGTGGGAGGAGGAGGAGAGCCCTACCTGCACGGAGTTCTCCCGACGGTTACTGGAGACATCCCCAGGGTTGTCCCTGGCCACAGCTGTCAGGGTGTAGTGATCCTTCTTCTCCCGGTCCAGGGCTGACAGGATATAGATGTCACCCTGCAGCACACAGAGACCTTCATGAGGATCTTGTCTGGCAGAGCTGGTCCTCGAGAAGGGGCAGAAGGTGAGGTGTGGGAGCAAGGCACAAGATGGGACCATCTCAGCCTTCCCTCCCTTTCTCCCTTCTGTTCCAGCCCCAGTTGGCTCCTTACCGTGTTGGGATTTATCCCAAACTTGCCCTCTCCATCCCCCAGGCTGTACTGGATGAGAGCAAAACGCCCAGAATCTGCATCGGTGGCCTTGACCCTCAGGATGACCGTCCCCAACGGCACGTCCTCAAAGACAGCTTTCTGAAAGCAAAGGGAGCGGGCAGGACTTGCTGTTTCAGTGGGCAGCAACCGAGGGCGTGGGGTGGCACCCAGGGGTGGGCACAGCTGGACCCAGAACAAGATGTTCGTTCCTCCTGGGTGAAGAAGAACCATCTTCTTCGTATGGTTCAAGTGCTGACAGAGGGAAGAGGTGTCCCTGGAGAACCTCCAGCTCTGTCCCCGTCCTCACCAGGGGGGCCCTGCCCAGCCCCACGCAGATTTGGATGGAGGAGCCCAGCTCACCTGGTAGGACGGCTGGCTGAAAACGGGATTGTTGTCATTGATGTCCACTATCTGGAGGTACACGGGAATCTCGGCAGATCTGCGGGGAGAACCGTTGTCGGAAGCTCGGATGGTGAAGTTCAGCCACTGCACCTCCTCGTAGTCCACCGTCCTGTTGGCCACGACCTTCCCTAGAGGATGGCAGACCCTGAAATGAGAAACCTGCACCAGGCCACCCGCCTGCTCCAGGACTCCCACCTCCCCAGGTCACCGACCTGCTGACTGGTCTTCCAGGCAGGCATAGCCTTCCGGAGAGAGGCTCAGCAGTTACCTTTGTCTGGGTCCACTGCTGAGATGGAAATGAGTGTGGTGCCCTGCGTGGCTCCCTCCAGGATCCTCTCCGTGAAATAGGTGACCCCAAAGGGGCGGAAGCGCGGCGTGTTGTCATTGACATCCAAGACGTTGACTGTCAGCTTGGCTGTGGCAATGGTGGAGACAACAGGGGAAGAGAAGAGGAAGAGGACAAGTGAGAAGGAGAAGGGAAAAGATGGGAGAAAGAAGTATCACGGACAGACAAGTGTGAAACTCTAGGAAAGCCGGTTCAATTAAACTGAGCAGGTTTATCAAAAATGGCAATATTCAGGACGGCCGCTATGCCCTGAGCTGGCTGTGGGACACCTACTTTAGACCAGTCCCACCTACTTTAGACCTACTCCTGATCTGTGTGTGCCCTCTCACACACAGCACTGGATTTACCAGGAGAAGGGTGGCAAGATGTCATGGGGATGGTAATGAAGAAAAATAGCGCCTCATATGGAATGGTTATGGGCACAGAGTCCTCTCCATCCCAAATCCGGCCCAGGGATGTACGGGCCATTTGCTAAAGGAGGGCTCAGAGGACAACCCTAACCTGCTGGGAGCAGGTCAGGATGGAGAAGGAGGTGGGAGAGCTGCTGACTACCCAGAAGTTGTGCTGGTGCCTGGTAAGCTGCCAGCCCCGGCCCCACCAGCCCCGGCCCCACGCTGCCTGGGGTGAGGCCACACTTACCGTTGGGCACGCTGACCGAGCGGTCGATGACTTCGCTGGCGTTGTCATGGACGGAGATGGTGACCTCGTAGGTGGCCACCAGTTCCCGATTGAGAGGGGATTTTATCTTCACAGCTCCTGGAAAGCCCAAAAAGATGGGGGTCCCAGGCTGTGCCTGTGCCCCCCACCCCCACCGAGGACCCTCGGCAGACTGGTCTGCGCCAGCCGACAGCTGCATCCTCCACTGCATGGCTGAATGGGGAAAATGCTCAAGACCTACAGGAGGAGACACCTCTTGTCCCCCTTCCCTCCGTCTCCTGCCTTCCTGCCTGCTCCGCTTTGCCCACCGAACAGGTTCTCCGACGGGTGAAGGTTTGGGTTGTGCGGATGCGAGTGGTTTGGGAGCAACTGCTGCTGCTCCCATGCACGACCCCATCCACCTTAGCATCCAGGCATCTTTAAGAGTCTTGTCCCACATTTTTCTTTCCTGGATCAGCTCTGTGCTTCCAAAAGAGAGGCGGGGAGCTCCTGGCCCTCTTTGCCAAGGGTAGAGCCTACCCCGGAGTCCCCCCTCCCTGCTCCCCACAGCGAGGTGCCCGTGTCCAGTCTGTCAAGGCTGAGCAGCCCCCGGCCCGCAGCAGAGCCGTCTGTGATGGAAATGGGGGAGATGGAAGGAGGCGACGGATGGCACGGAGAGAGAAATGAGCACAGACACAGAGACAAACCTTGCGGGCCGAGAGCCGGAGAGGAAAGAAAAGGGTTAGTTAAGTCGGTTGGCTGGGGAAGAGAGGACAGGGCAGGGTGAGATGGGGCAGCCGGAGGAGGAGAGAGGGGAGGGAGGAGGAGAGCATCATCTCCCTGTGCCTTGGACACCTACCTCCAGGCAGAGAAGAAGAAGAAGAAGCAGAAGAGAGTAGAGGGGTCCGCGCTGCTCGCGCTACCCTTCCCGCTCTCCTACCTGTCCTAAAATCCACCGCAAATGCTCCTTGCTGGTCGGGCACCAGCGCATCTGTGTCATCGCGGGCCACGATCTCCAGCAGGTAGTACTCCAGGCGGGGGTGGAGGTCGCGGTCGACGGCGGTCACCTCCGCCACCACTGTG